CATAGTTAAAGTGTAAATGTTTTTGAAGAGAACGAAGTAACTCAGAAAAACTAGCAGGATCTAATCACGAGTCCATGATTGAAGTAAAGTGCGCAATACCTCGTTGTATGTTTTGCCAGTTAATGATAACGTAAGAGTCACGGTCTGGTCTGGACTGTTCATGCCAGAAACCAAGGGCGTGTCCTGCGGAAACAATAAGATGCTTAATAAGTGCAATGCAATCTTTTTAATCAAGGTAAGCAAAGCATGCAAAGTGATATAATGTTTTACACTAGCCTCCGCCCCAGGCAACTCTTTTTTCCTCGTTTGGGCTTCCTTTGTAACCGTCACTTTGCCCGTTAGGGACTAGAGCGCGTCCCCTCTCTCGCTCCCATTCTCCCTCTTTTGATTCCCCCCCAAAAGACAAAAAGGTACCGTGAAATCGTGATCGTTCTATAACCCCAAATTGTAATTTAAGTTTGTACGAATCTTTAATAATCATTAATCAAATGTAGCAAACAGACCAATCTCGTGAGCAACCACACCCATGTGCTCACATCCTCGACCAATAGAGATCCTCTGAGCACCACTGTTGCCTTGACGACCAACCATTGAATAACACCTGTAGGGGAAAAAGTTGTGGTTATTTAACAATTATACCATAAGGTGGAGCCCATGAGGGCGAATGGAATATCTTCTCGTAGTTAAACGTGACCAAGTGGCCTTATTRTTTTAGCATTAATAAAAGACTATTAAAGGAGCAATTTTTCGCTACATTTTTTCAACAATTTGTTCTCCATTCGATGTCACCATGGTATAACAAGAATATGCTATAGTTCAGTAGCCAATAAGAACGCTGGATTTGTAATAGCCCACAGCAACTAATATACAAAAATACTATCTTCTCAAAAGGTGATAAGTGTCAGTTGTCTATAGACAGTTGAATAATAGTAATTACGTACCCTCCACCAGAGAAAAAAGACAAATATTTTCCCATGCCTGGACGGTAACTAACAAACTTAAGACAAGGAACCTTTGCCATCCAATGATTCATTGCTCGCTGAATTACTCCTCGAGCATGATCTACATTCAGAGACAAATACATAAGTAAAATAATGATAATGATAATGATAATGATAATGATAATGATAATGATAATGATAATCAAAGTCCTTACAAACTGTCAGAAATCTCAAAAATTCTCAAAACATTGGGAAAGCTTGTTAAAATGTATAGAAAAAGTATTGTAAAAACACAATCTGTTTTATTCTATTACTATGGTATGTCCCTATATATTTAGTTAATCTGTGTTATTCACGGCTCAAAACTAAAAAGCCATCAAGAAATTCTATAATATGAGAGATTGTTGCACACAATGTAGTCCGCAGCAAAGTTTTGAAAACAAATGTRAATGAAAATTTATACCAATGACCATAATAATCTTGATATATAATAAACCTTGGCATTATCGATCCTTGTACAGAAATTCAGTTATATGTCCAGAACGTTTGAATAAAAAAATTAAAATTATCATCTCGAGGTCGAGTGGACTACGAGCTAATAGCCCATGAGGACAAGTCCGCGAGGCCGAATGGGCTATTAGCTCGTAGTCCACGAGGCCGAGCGGTCTAATTGTTAATTAGACCATTAGTAGAGTAGCCAATCACAGCGCAGTATGAGTGATAGACCATTAGTATGTTTATACTAAGTTACATTAAAATCATCTGCAAAAACACCAGGACTCGAATGTGTGTACTTTTAAAACTAAAGAAAAGCAAGCGSTGTTGACGTTAATCAGATGCCTAATTTCSCCTAATTTTGACAGAAATAYCATCCTGTTTGGAAGAACAATCTATGTTTGGACAATAATTTGACGTCTCTTTCATTGAATCCTTGATGGAGTTAGTGATTTGATATTCTTAGCACGAAATCCTTATTTCTTTATTTCTTTGGATATACTTGATGATGACATACTTACAGTTAGATGGTTCGATTTTRTAAGGTACCAGTCCTTTGCCTCTTACAATCCATCTGGCACGTTCATTTCTCATTATAGCGCGCTTTGTACGCCCTGTAGTGGGAAAAACCAGGCCACGGCTATTCATAAAGCTACGTATTTCACTGTCAACTACGATGTCACCTTGAAAGAGCTGTACTCCTTGAGCTGCAAAAGTAAACCATGTCATTATTTATATTCATTATTCTGAGTATTATTATATGGGAGCAAGGATGGCCGAGCGGTTAAAACGCCGGTCTATCACCGCTGTGGTCCTGGTTCGATTCCCGGTCCGGGACTGTATGTGATTTGAGTTTGTAGGCTCGTTCTCTTCCTTGCTCCGAGGGTTTTTCTCCAGGTCCGCTGGTTTTCCCTCAGTCAAAAAACTAGCTGTGAGGAGTGTCGTGTAGTAAAATAATGAATGTTGAGGTAGTGAGTATGAGTGAATATATAGAGGGCCACAAGTTTATTAGTCTAGAACTATTACGTGCTACCCTCTCAAAATAAAAGAGTTTTATTATTAGTAGCAACATAATCTGTCAACAATACTTACCAAAACGTGCTTTCGTCTCGTTTTTGTCATTATTCGTTTCTAAGATGACATCAAAGATCGGTTTGGGTGCTTTGGCTAGTMAGGAATAAAATAGGTTAGACTTATAAAAGCAATGTAGTATGRGGCACAAAAAAGATTCYWTYCTATAAAGCTGCTGTCATGKTTTTGAATAGGCTAATTCTAATTGGTTGTTTTGCGTTTATACTTTTTAAACTTACCRCACTGTCCCCATTTGTTACTATTCGATGTATAGTCAGTTGTAGTCGCGCACCATTCGACGCCAAGGTTCTTCTTTGTGCAGTCGTAAAACGTTTCTCCCAGATACGTGAACGGGAAAACACAACATTTACCATTAGTCGTCTTACGAGTGTCACACACTAGAGAAAAACCAAACAAAAGAACGTTTAGAATTGAAAAAAGAATGAATGTAGATTGAAACAAGTAGAAAAATAAGGATTTTACGCATCAGATCATCCCGAATACCAATTAAAGCATGCAATTTATAGGAAAAAATAATAATTTAGTGTAAAAACACCCGATTATATAAGCATAGTTAACAGTAACTATGTTATAAGTAATAGCATTGCTGTGTGGCAGATTTGCGGTTTAAATGTGCCCAAAGCCGAGGGCAGATAAGTTGAAGTCCCTACGGCCGCAGAGGGACATTAAGCAATGCCAAGATTTCCGAGGAAAAAATTGAAGTTCAAGTTTGAATAGATTATAATCATTTTAAGAAATAAGACGTTTTTAGCGAATAAACGCTAATATTTATGTCTTTTACAATGTCTTTATATCAAAATGTTTCATACGTGTCATATCAAAAAGTTCAAACTAAAATCAACGTCACCAAGATGTCATTTGAGTGGTATTATGCTTTTATTACTTCCGGACATTATTAAGCGGATACTGTGCAGCCCAAAACCAGGCTCTCAATTTTATCATCTTCATGCTATACGGTCCTATACCTTTTTTTTGTCAATACGAATATTCAAAATAATTGCTGATTCTCTGGGAACTGATTTTATATCAAGTAAATAAGTGAATGGCAAAAAACTCCTGCATTTCAGAGCTGCGTCTTTGAGAAGCCTTCATTAGATATACGAACTTTGAAAAAGTCACTCAAAAATGTTTTCATGAAACGCCATCTGGGAATATGGTTATTTCCTACATTGCCTACGATAAATTTTATGACATGAAACCATTTTAAAGCGACTCCTTCAAAGTTCTTATATCATATGAAGCCTTTTTGATGTCATTTTGATCCTTTATAACTCAAAGACGCAATACCATGTTAATATTAACTATGGCAATACTAAAAATGCAGGAATATTTCACCAATGAATTATTTACTTTATATAAAATCAGCTCACAGAGAATCAGCAAAAAATAGTGTTCTGGTCATCAATGAAAATAGTTAAAATTAGCATTGCCAGAAAGTCGTGTTATCAAATGACCTTGAATATCGCGTGCAATTTGCAACCAAATGATGGAGACAAATTATCTGGTCAAAACTCAATATGCCAACTGATCGTGAATTCCAAGTTGTACCTGAGCCTTGGTCAAAAGGTTTAAAAGTCTGTGATATCATAATRTCGAATTAAATACTAGATTGAAAACCACTATAGCATGTATCATGATAAAAACAAAATTATTGATTTCTAGTTTAATCAGAGTAAACGCCGCAWTCAATCCAGAGGATAGYTATCCAAAAGTTCTAAAGGAGCCGGTTTTAAAAACGTTCAAGCTTTTCTTACCTGTACTAGCATTACTTGAAGAGGCAGGAGGAGGGGTCTTTGGCTGAGCAATACTAAACCCGGCCAAAGCCAGAATCARTACGATTCTTAATRCCATGTTATTATGACTATTGTCCAGGTACGAGAGACTGCTCAATTGTGCTTTGTGACAAATCAAATGCAAATYMTATCGATACGCAGCTTTGCAGCACTTTTATAAGGTGAACAGCCCACGTTCGCAAGGCTCGGYCTTCAGAAGTCGATTCTGASWGGCTAGGTCTCTTACGTCAGCAAGTTCCGGTTTGTCACGTTTGCGCTGAAAAGTAAGTTTTACACTTGACCATCTGGTYTCTGAAAACGTCGTCAATATTGCARTAAAGTATTYAAGAAAAGTATTTCATAATTTGCTARTAAGTGTGTTGAAGCGTACAGTACTGTTGGATTTARATTTCRTGATCCATGAAATTTGAAGCCAACAGGCTCCCTGCAGTCTCTGGTTTCAGAGCATAGGAAGTAGAATGATCCCGARGTTGGGGGGTCGGGGTGGTCCAGGTTCGAACGGTGGCGTTCCGMTGGTAACTCTAACTCTGACAGGAAATTAGTGAAATTCCATACCATTATCCAAGACATAAACCAGATCCAATAGTGTTTCCGTAAACTGTCAATATGTCCTTTTTACTTTACAATATACTAGATAAATATTGAAACCCTGTATAGGACATGGAAAACATAGAAAAAACATAGATTACAGAAATCTATTTGCAACTACRTCATATCTATCCTGGTTCGGCAGTTCAATGATGTCAAGACGCTTGCGTGAAATCAAACCTCTGTTACCAGGCACCCATCACCCATCAGCGTAGATTAATCTGCGCACAAATCTACTTTTTCTCATCCGCCGACAAAGTGAGAAGTAACAAAATTTGTAATAGTTACTCTACCAAAAAAATAACGTATCAGTTTGATTGTAAATGTGTAGGCGACGCGCGGCCTCTCCTCGAAAAGCACTGTGGAATTTAGTTTTGTCGCCTTCGCACCAACATGCCAAAAAAGATGATTTCGAAGTGTTAGTATCAGCTGTAATATCTCCTTTAATATGTATCCGTTCTGTTTTCACACGAACCACAGAAATTAAAAACCATGCAACATCAATCCTGTTCATTTGTGATCTTGGAGTGCATATGAGAAATATCCAACAGAACCAGCCAATGTTTAGAAGAGTGTAACGGATGTTCACCGCACGAAAACCTCACGCTTTCGCAGGATGATATTGCTAACCACCACTAAAACAACGAAAAATCACTAAATACTAAAATAAAATGTATTAGTACATTCTACTACAAGATTATTTGCACAATAACTTTTAACTCTTTAGTTAAATACTGTGGTTAAATAGCCGTGGTAATTGATTATGAGAATACTATACATGGAATTTTTAAATAGAGCTTGATTTCTTTAATACAATGTTCCCTCTATCTAAGAAATCAATAAAAAATATTCCAAGACTACTAAGTGCCGCGAATACGAGTTAATGATCGATCCTCAACCAAATGACTAATACTACACAAACACACATAACCCTTTTCTTGGCAAGGTCGCACACCATACCAGACACCATAGTCTAGTTATTATAGGAGAGAATCAAAATATCGGCACTCAATTTTAATTAAAAATTTTAAAACTTAAAAGATTCGATTGGGATTTGATTTTATTCCGAAATTTAAAAAAATGACAACTACTAGTGTTAAAACGTGATTTCTTGGCATTCAATAAGACAAGCTATAGTCCTATACATAACAAAAGGTATAAACGTTATAAGTCTAGCAGACCCCCTAACAAAACTGATAAGAGTACGAGTTGATGACCTACATCTACCCTATTGAGTGAAAAAAATTCCAGCATGTATTGTCTGGCAGAAAACTCTTTTGTACTGAAAGGTTTTTAATGATGAATTTCATGTCGCGTTGGATCTCTCTCGACCCGAAAAGTCCGAAAACCTCCCCTCCATGTCCCGGCCATCAATGACTGCAATGTTGCTCCTGCTCTGCTAACCGTCGATCACTCAAACGGAAATGGATGTTGCGAACGTGCCTCCATCCTGCGTTGGTGCTCCTACGTAAAAGGCAAAGTTGCGCAACGTTTGAAAATTGTTACAACTGACCTGGAGGATCACCCCCATCAAGCTGCTGTTGAATCGATATACCGGAAATCGCGAAATCCTTAGAATTGATTTTTTTTAATAACAGAGGCACCCGGGAACGCTGCAGATACGCGGAACTTGAACATTTGTGAAATACACGTTTGTCGAGTCTCGGTATACTAAAAAATGGACACTTTTGCTGTTGTTGTTTTTGTTTAGTCATGACTGTGATCGGTCTAATAAGCAAAAAACAGCAAAACCAAACGTTGCATATTGTATTCCATATTTACAGGCGTTTCCTTATGTGTTCTCCCTCTAAACTATTTCTCCTCGTATCTATATTCATTGTTTTAATATTTAGAGGTCTTATTAACAGAGCGCGCAGTCTGGATAGAAAAATCTCGGACCGCGGTACGAAAGGAAGTACAGACCGACCGCAGCGTCCAGGCATATATAATAAACTAGCAGGAGAGTTTTTTTTCTTTTACAGCTGTATTGTATAGTGACCGCTTAGTTTTTCTTTTATAGGAATGATGTCCCAATCATATTTATAAGAAGATTCATGATGCAACTAAACTTGAACACTTGACTAGTCCTAATTTAGCCCAAGCTCTCAGGAACGACTTGTTTTTGCTACATGTAATATTGAAACAATTAATTGTTTTGGCCTTACGAGGTGCTGTGCGATTTTAGCCACATTACGTGAGCACGCAGGGTTTTGCTTTATTTTATCCGTTTATTTTTTACCAATATGAGGTAGAAAAAGTTACAATGAGTACCCCTTTCTACTTCCTTATTCATTTTTTTAACGGCTGGAGTGCAGTATTAAGAGCGCTTTAACACTGTTCACGTACGTCTCTGCTCGCAATTAATTAAATTAAATTATATTTCCGTTTTCATTTCAATGTTTCCTAGAGCCCACGCAGCCTAGTGTATGCATGAGCACTGGGCCCAATTAGCAAATCTGGGTGTTTTTTTTTTACTCTGGAAGAGAGTCTCGATGGGGTTAACCGTGAGCCGTGAAACGGCTGAAAAATTAGCCGTGAGTCGTGAAAATGCAAAGAAATTAGCCGTGAGGCGTGAATATTTTTTTATAGCCTGAGCCGTGATTCATTAATTTTTGTCCCTCAGAAGGAAAGTCTCTACAGTACCATGAAAGTTTCAGAAATGTTGATTATGTTGTTTTAACTCTTTAAATAAGAATATTAAAAGAGAAATCTGTTATTTTATGGGCTGCCGGCCATTTAGGATTTCGTTGTTGCGTGGCCGGCAGTCGGTTCAAGTTCGCACAATGTCTCTAAGTGCAACGAATTTCGGCGCGACGTTTATGTCAGTCTAACACACTCATTTTACTCGTAGAGTTTTATTTTGGAGTTTTGGAAGCTCGTTTAGATAATAAGAGAGGGAAAAAACAGATTTTATGGACTGCCGGCCATTTAGCATTTTCAAGACCTTGACCGGTAACCGACCATATAGACACAGCGTAAAAAAATATTAAAAGCTTTAGTGGAGATTTTTCAAAATTTTGCATTGCAAGAATTCTTATGTAAACGATCGCTGATCGTCTAGTTTATTTGTAAACAGAGCGCCTGGCGATTTTTGTGAAAGTATTTTACAATTTATAAGCTCGTTCACATATAAGATTCATATATAAGATTCATATTTCCATCAATGTTTGTTCATGATAGGATCTTTTAGTACTATGTAGTTTCTATTTTTATATTATCATTTCTATTTTGAGAAAATGAGTTTTTTCGTAGTGTTTTCTGTGTTGTCGCTGTCGCTCTGAGGCTCTGTTTACAAATGTAAAAGATTTCAAGACGCGCGCGCTCCCCGCGCGCTCACTTGCGGGAAAGCTGTGGACATGCGCAGTGCATTTTTCACCAGTGTCGTCCCTCCCTTGACTTACAGTTCAAACAAGTCTTCTTTGAAGGTGAGTCGTATACTTTACAGCATTTTACGCCGAAAACCGGGCTCAACTCTCAATGCCTTCATGAAGTATTTACTTCTAAAGGTTTTCGCCAGTTTTTTTGGAGAAATTGATATCACGTTTGTAGACAGAAATCAATTGTTTTAAGCTTAATATGCTTTATCCCGCTACCAAATATTGTCGCTGTGGCGGGTCGCTGTGTTAAGAAGTGGTGATCGGCAATTACTGACAAGAATTTTATTCTCAGAATTCASACCAAAAAGCTATAGACTATTATTGTCCGTTCGCGGGAGCCTCCAAGTAATTCCTTTTCGTGATGCCATCTATAGAAATGCTCGTTCGCAGGTGCCAATGATGCAAACTTACCAAAAACTGAGCAGGGATAAAACCACTACCCGCTACCGTAAAGCAAAAAAAAAAAAAACATTGTCAAACTAATACGGAGATTTCTGTACTTCAATGAAGGCTTTCATGAAAGTTGTGTCTGTTTCAAGTCAGTACTATAGATTAAACAATCTTTATTGTTTTAAAGTGCTGACCTCGGGATTTTCAAAATAGATGAGGTGACGGTTTTGGCGGCTATCTTGGACCGGTAGGCATTATAGCTAGTGTCGCAAAATAACAAGGATAGACCAGGAAATCGATGTCAAATAAAAAAGTTGAAATATAAGCTTATAGGTTTTTATGATGCATGTTCATTTTCAACCTATGTTTTACAATAATTTTAATTAAAGTACGCTAAAGTTCTAGTCTTAAAACATTTTTTATAGATAAAAGTCAAGAAAACAAGACAAGTATTGACAAGTTTTACTGACAAGTTTTACTGACAAGTTTCACTTGACGTTTCGACACAATCTTGTGTCATTTTCAAAAGTGATTTTATTAAGTTAAGTGACTGGATTTATACTAAAACTTGCTAGATGAATTTGAATAGTAATTACTTTTGAAAATGAGACAAGATTGTGTCGAAACATCGAGTAAAACTTGTCTTGTCCTGACTTTTATCTAAAATCTACACTGTATTTATATAATAATTTCGAGTTTTGCTCTTTATTAATTATATAGATCCCCTAGTTAAAAACACACACCATATCTTCGGTTTTAACATTTCCTTGGATTTTATTCTATAGTATTATTTCAGAATGTCTCTATTTTTCGTCTAGCTACAATGTATTCCATCTTTACATATGTTGTAACTGCCTGAAAACCAAAATGCATTGTCATTTTTATCTGGATCCTGCTGTTACATTATACAAAACAAACTTCCACAAAAGGAACAAAAATTGTTGAAATGGGTCTCTTTATGACCCAATCAAAATATTTTCTAAAATTATTTGTACAATTTTTAGCCATTCCTAAACTTCCTTCTTTGAAATATAGCACCACACCCACTGGTTTTACTTTGAATAAAAAATCTCATATTTAAATGTTAGCATCTACAGGCCAGAAAGCTGCCCATACAATGTAAATGGCAATACTATAGTGCTCTAGCAATACCAGGATGTCAGTCATTAAGAAAATTTAAAAGTCTTTGATTCAAATAGAGTCAAATCACAATATGATGTCAGTCACCTTGTTGAAATTAAACTTATATTCATTCATGAAATGAATGGTAGAAATGTRATTGTTAAAATTATGTCTAAATAATATATGATAGACTCAAAGATATCAAAGYTAGCTCACTGCCTTTTTGTGGTGAYARTATTGTTAAACTGACCAATCAGAAACAAGCAAATATTATATGAAAACAGATAAATGAATGTAGCTCAGTGATAATAGAATATTATCAAATAGTATTAGGGACTCTTCATTTTTCATGAAAGAGGGGAAAGGGGTGGGATTGGTTGGATTAAGGGGGTTCATAAAAAAAGATTCGATGAGGAGGAGGTGTCAAAATGTTTTTGAGTCAAAAGGTCAAAGGGTCAGAAAAAGGGAMGGTTCAGAAAAAATGTACATTGATTGCAAGTGATATGAATATAAGAATGATGTACAATGTGTCTCGACAACTCTATTTAATCATGTATGTATAACAGTGTTATCTATATGACCTGCCAGTAACCTGCATTTAACTAATTCAGCTGCCCCCCCCCCCCTCTGATAAAAAATGAACAGTCCCTTATGTCCTATGAGTGACACTGTACCCAAAAACTTCCTCTTCCTTAAGTCTGCACTCCTCCTAATTCTAGATGTTTACAGGTTTTTAACAGTCGAACCCTCACCAAATATAATGTTTTGTATAGTTATAGCTATCAACAGATGAAATGGCTTTTCAAGATAATGCTGTTAAACAAGAGGTGGACAAGCTAAATGTAAGCAAATGAGTGACTATTTGTTGTCAAACAAGTACAAACAAGTAACTTCAATTAGATATTTGTCTAATGATTGTGTTGATTTATCAACAGGCCAAAGTGACTGAGCTTCAATTGTACGTAAGAATATTCACAAATGCCTTTAGTTGATCTCTACCTCATGGTTCTTACTCAATATTAAAATTTCAGTGAGTTGCAGACAAAGAATTATGAAGAAACAATTTGGCATACAGCATATTCTGATTTAACAGTAAGTATGTTCGTATATTGGTCTTACTTATTATTGCCAATTTACTGAGTCATTCATTGAATCTGTGTATGCAAAGGATTATTAGTTCACGTAATAATAACATATAACGTCTTGTCCACAGGACAAGCTTAAAAGACTTGAGAGGTGAGATATGTTCTCATGTTTTAACTGTATTGAATTCAGTAACCTCGTTAGTATTCTAAAACATATTG